TCTTTTCCCAGTCTGTGTCTTGTCTTCATTTCCTTAATAGTCTGTTTCAAAGAGTAGAAGTTTTATTTTTAAGTTTGATTGTCATTTGTGTCTGTTATGGTGAGTGCTTTTGTGCCTAGTTTAAAATCTCTTATCCTATATCAACATTGTGAAAATATTCTGTTTTTCTTCTAGAAGTTTGGAAGATTTTGCTTTTACCCTTGGCTCTATTATCTATTTTGTTAATTTTTTAACACTTTATAATGGAAAATTTAAAATATATACAAAGTAAAGAGAATAGTTTACTAAATTATCATGTATCCAACACCCAACTCAACAATTATGAACATTTTGCACTTCTTATATCATCTATATCTCCACCTATCCAGTATAAAATGTTCTAGTCATTATGTCTTCAATAATTTTCCTGTCTCCTCTCTTCTTTCTGGGACTCTAATTACACAATTATTAGACCACCTGATATTGTTCTACAAGCTATTGAGTTTGTTCATTTTGTGTGTGTGCGCTTTAGTTTTAATAATTTCTATTGCTCTATCATTGATCTTTTCTTCTTCAATGTCTAATCTGCTACTAAGTTCATTCAATACATTTTCATTTTTTGTTTATCTCTAAAAATTCTTTTTCGTTCCTTTTATATCTTCCATTTTTCTTTTCATTATGTTTACATCTTCATTTAAATCCTTGTGTAAATTCATAATAGGTATTTTTAACTCTTTGCTCTTAATTTCATCAGATCTGTTATTTCTATTTATTTTTATCCTATTTTTATTATACATTCTCCCACTACTCTAATGTCTAGAAATTTTTGATAGGATTCTGGACATTGTTGACTCTGAATTGTTTTTTTATTTCTTTAAAGAGTGTTAAAGTTTGTTTTAGCAGCCAGTTTAGCTACTTGTGTTTGGCTTGATGTTTTTGAGGCTTGATTTAAGCTTTGTAAGTACATATCAAGTATAACTTTTATTCTGGAACTAATTTAACTCTAATGTTAAGACATAAATCTTCTAGACTCTATGGAAGATCACCTCAGATCATCTCTAAGGAGATCACCTTAATGACTGGTTGTAACACAAACATCTCACAGTACTGTGTAAGCTATGATAATTTTTAGCTTGAAGTATCCAAGTATTTATTCTTTGCCCAGATTCATGGAGTTTTACCTTATAAATGCATAGCTTAATACTCAAAGACACAAGGAGACCCCCATGCAGATTTCTAGAATTCTTGCTCTGTGTGGCTTCAATATGCTTCTATACATATTCCAGCTACTTCAGCCTCCCAAAACTCTGGTTTGCTTCTTCTCAGCTCACCAACAATTCTGTGCTTTCTTTGCATATACCTTCTCTGGTCCATCATCTGGAAAGGGTCTCCAGTCAAAAAGTCAGGGTTAATACAAGGCTCACCTCATTTGTTCCTCTTCTGTCTTAGATTCAGCAACACCTGTCCAATGTCTAAAAACAATTATTTTATATATTTTGTCCAGTTTTTCACTTGCTTGTGGTGGATGGCTTATGGGGGGGGGGGGGTCACAATTCAGTCCACACCACATTTCCACAAATAAATGAATACTATTATTTCAAAACGAGATAAAACACATTGTGAAAATGATACAAGGTATGAAAAAACAAGAAAACTCTGAATTAGAAAAACTCATAAGTTATGCACTATAACTCAAGAAATTATTAGAAATAAAAAATAACTTAGGAAATTCAGACTGAAATTAGAAGTAGCAGAAGAGCAAGCAAACACAAGAGATAATATCTTAGAAGAAATAGAAGGTGAAAAAGATGGGAAAAATAAATAGAAAAAAATAAATGAGGAGAATTAATGGGAAAGTAATAAATGTAGAAACAAGTCAAAGAAGATCTAATCTACATAGAATAGTAGCCCCAAAGGAGAAAACCAAAGCCAAGGATAGAACAAATAATAAAAATTATAATTCAAGGAATTTTTCCTAGTGTTAAAAAAAAAAAGATGAAGTAACATATTGAAAAGAAACATCACATCTAAAAAAATTGCCCAAAATCAAATATCAAAACATATCCTAGTAAAACTGTTGGTCTTTTTTTAATAAAAAACAGATCCTTTGAGAATCATGTAGTCCTAAATTTCCTAGTCCTTTTTAGAAAGGACCTAGAAACAATAACTAACCCAGAAGCAATGAGCCTCTGTAGTACCTAAATTTTGGCCTTGACACACCATTTCACCACTAAAATAAACAAAGTATCTTGGAGAAATGGTTGATACCTGGAATGAAGAATGAAATGTATGAAATGAGCTCAGAACATCTTATCCTATCAGATAACAATTAGTATTAGACACTAATAATACTGTGTCAAAAAGACTCAAGAGAGAAATATAGGGAATTCCACAGACCAAAGACAGAAAATTTTGAGCAATAAAAGGATGATCATTGCAATGGACTGAAAAACAGAAAATATATTTTTCAGCAGTGACAATATAAGGATACTAAAGAAAAATAACTGTTCACCTTTGAAGGATAGTAAGAAACCAAATCATTATTTTGAAAATTAGAAAACAAAAGTGATGTAATTTTTTTTATCAGACTGTGGGGGTGGATACTCAAAACCTATGCATGTGATAAAATTCCATTGAACTAAATGTACACACACACACACAAATGACTATAAGTAAAACTGTGGAAATCTGAATAAGATCAGTGGATTGTATATGGCAGTATGCAATATCCTGGGTGTGATGTTGTACTATAATTTGGCAAAATTGTTACCAGTGGGGGAAACTGCATAAAGGGCACCCAGGATCTCTCTACATTATTTCTTACAACTGCATGTGAATCTGCAATTATCTCAAAATAAAAAATTTAATTTAAGAATCTTCATTAACAGTATTTTCATGGATAATATATTACTGAATGTATTCCTGAAAAGTACATTTTCTTATGAACATATTTCCCACATGAATGAGAATATATGAGTGAAGACTTCTTATGTCCCTCCATCTCTTGCCATTCTACACTCTCAGTCTACAGGTGCAGCAGCTGGGTGACAAATTTAACATTCCTTATAAACTAACATTCCTTTACTGAAATTACACAGTTTGTTTTAGTAAAATATTTGAGTTTGTTTCAAAAACTCTTTAAAATAAACATTTAAAGACTAGTTGACTGTGCTTAGTGGTGAATAACTAATGATGAGTAACAACAATAATGGTAGTAACTGATGATGATGTCGATGGTAATGACTGAAGTTGTGGTGGTGATGATGATGATGATGGTGGGGTTGTTGGTCATAAAATATTTGAGTGGTGGCATCAGACTCTGAGTTTCCAGAGCTGCCAGATGACTTCCAGTAAAAGGAAAATTAACACATTTGGGAGACAAAACATGATTCACAGCACAGGTGTAAACCAAGACCCTAATTGCTCCTTTAGCAAGGACTTTAGTCTCTGAAGTGACTGCATCCCAGGGGAAGTTCTGCCTATATTATATATATATATATATATATATATATATATATATATAAAAACACCCCCCCCACCAGTCTCCCAATCTCAGGGACCCATTTACCATGATTGTGCAGGCCTCTGAGTAAATTTAGGACTAGATATAAATGTGTATGATTCTCTCATTTCCTGATATTTTTTTCCTGACTGTTGAAACCAAGGCATCCCCTACAATTTCCAGGAGACTGTGTTCCATTTTTCTTCATCACAGGTATTTAATTACAGATTTAAAGCAATTTCATGAGAAAATATTTCTTCTATGACTCCTGTTTCTAATGCAGGCTATTTCCAACCATGCGTTTACCTTCATCTCTAAGTGTTTTTTTCTTTGTGTGCTGTGTTCTTATCAGCAGCAATCCTGAGCCTCTGATGGTCTGGTAAAACTAGAAGTAATAATTGTAGTAACTGATATCAAGCATGTGGGTCATGAGTGCCTATTTCATATTATTAGACTATTTTGAGAGTAAAAAGTTCAATCAATGGTGTCAAAAACTTTCCCATCTGCACTGTGAATGGTGTTCACTCTGCACTGCTTTGTAAAGCACTTTGATTTCTGGTGAAGGGAATTTCAAGGCAGATTTCCTATGTTTCTTACTGTTTTAAGAGGTGTAAACTGGGTACAAGGAGATATGTAATATTTTTTTAACCTACTGTTACCTAGAAGAAATTTTTCTCCCTTGTAACAAACGGAAATAATACTAAAAAATATTAGCTATCTCTGACAGTATTTATTATGAAGTTAAATATCTCACCACCAATAATTTAACATATAAGGTTTACAATGCAATGCATATTTTCTTGTCTTCATACCACATACTAGGGATTTAAACACTCTTACACCTAAGAAAAGGAAATACAGTTAGTGCCAGAGCTATTTTTATTATAGGGATCAAAGAGAATATATATTTTAAAGAGATACACTAAAAAAGGTTACAAACTGTTTTTTAAAAAGTACATATATACTTATACACATGTAAATACATATATGCATAGAAAAAATCTAGAAGGGTAGCCATTACGAGTGTTAGTCTCCAAGTAGCCAAAAAATGGTATTTTATTTTTGCTTCTTTGTATTTCTAATTTTCTAAAATGCGTATATATTGCCTTTGTAATTTTTTTAAATGCACCTGAAATAGCAATAACATTTGTTCTCTGTATCCAAAAATTCAATATGTTAAGTTTACTAAATAATAATAAAGTGCTACACGAAGATAAGCTACAGCAAAACGATATCGTGTAGTGGAAAGAAAACAGATGGGTGGTCAGAAGTCCTGGGTTTTAGGCCTAGTTCTGCCTCTTGCTAGTTGTATGACTTTGGGTAACTTATTTAACTTTTAGAGCTTCAATTCCCTAGAGAATGGAAAAGATAATCTAGCATTCCTCTTTTCTCATATGCTGTGCACAAACTAAGACATCAAGTCTAAAGCACATTCAACCACAGTGTGACTTAGAGCTGTGTGTGCACAGATTTATAAGCACACACACTTGGGTCAAGGGAAGAAGTTCATGGTCAGGAGAGAGCAGTTTGACTTCCAAGTCCTGAATAACTAATAGTCCTCGGGCAAATCACTTAGTGTCTGGCACTTCGGTTTTCTCAATATGAAAATGGGAATGATAATACTACTATAAAGACATTTTTCCTCAAAACCAAAAATTTTAGGAGGAGTTCATGAGATTGACCTTTGAAAAGTATTACCTGAAAGTTAGTAATTATATAATGAGGCAATTAAAATAGTGAGAATTTAAAGTTTTTAGCTTAAGAAATACATCTCAGAGATGGGAATGTCCATAGGTATCGTATCCAGCAATGATGATCCATGCTTCTTAGGGATATATCTATAATTTAATTCACTGCCATTAGGGAGATAATGAGGCCATGGTTTGATACTATGATATGAAAATAATAATAACAATAGTAATAATAATAATAGCCTTTGAGCACTCACTCTGGCCTGTACTATGTGCTAGGCCTCAGGCTGCACCACAGATCAATTAAATCAGAACTTCTGTGGGAGGAACCCAGGTATCAATACTTTTTAAATGCCCCAAGTAATTGTAGTATACAGCCAGTGTTGAGAACCACTGTCTTAGGACCTTAAGTCCAGTGAAAAACAAAGAACAAATTCCAGACACCTAATGACAATTCACATTTTTATAGGAACCAAGTGCTTCAAAAAAATTTTCTAAATATGCATTATCCCATGTAGTTTTACAACCACTTTTGGAATTGGTATCACTAATTTCTTCATTTTTCAGATACGGAAATTGACTTATACTCAGTTATACAGTTGTAACTACCATATCGCCCTCACACTGCATCAATTTGAGAAAGGTGTCTGTATGTTCACATTCAGTGAATATTTAGGAATTGCATAGATGACAGGGAAATTTCTTTTCTGAAGCAAAACACATCTCCAACTACAAATATGAAATATACTACTTGTTCCTTATAGGGTAGAGCTTCTCAAAACTTTGCATGCATCAGCATCACCTGGAGAAAGTATTCGTGTGTTCAAACACAGATGCTGGGCTCCATCCCCAGAGTTCCTGATTTGGTAGGTCTGGGGTGAGGCCTGAGAGTTTGCATCTCTAACATCTCCAGGTGATGCCAATGCTGCTGCTCCAGGGACTACATTTTAAAAACAACTGCTCTAGGATATTTGAGAAACATAAAAGTGGTAAAAAATTCCAGATCTTGCCCCCATTTCCCTCTCATCTTCATGATCTTTTAAACAACCAGTATCTCCTCTCTCTCCCAGCCAACAGTAGGATGAGTGGAAGATGCATCAGAAAACAGCCCAGGATCGCACAGCTGACGCCACATGCTTAAAACTAGCTTCACCTAGTAGTACAAGATGCAGCCTTTCACAGGGTTCTTCTCTCCTGTCCCCACAGGGCTCCCAACAAGAGGACAATGGCTGCAGAAAATCACTCCACAGTGACAGAGTTCATTCTCGGGGGATTAACAAATCGGCCAGAGCTCCAGCTCCCCCTCTTCCTCCTCTTCCTTTCGATCTACTTAGTTTCCATGATAGGGAACCTGGGCATGTTCACACTGATTTGTCTGAATGCTCAGCTTCACACCCCCATGTACTACTTCCTCAGCAATCTGTCACTCGTGGATCTCTGCTACTCCTCTGTCATTACCCCTAAAATGCTGGTGAACTTTGTGTCAGAGAAGAACATCATCTCCTATGCAGGGTGCATGTCACAGCTCTACTTCTTCCTTGTGTTTGTCATTGCCGAGTGTTACATGCTGACAGTGATGGCCTAAGACCGCTATGTTGCCATCTGCAGCCCTTTGCTTTACCACGTAATCATGTCTCATCAAGTCTGCTCCCTGCTGGTGGCTGTGGTCTATGCCATGGGGCTCACTGGCTCAACAATAGAGACTGGCCTCATGTTTAAACTGTCCTATTGTGAGCTCCTCATCAGTCATTACTTCTGTGACATTCTTCCCCTCATGAAGCTCTCCTGCTCTTGCACCTATGATATTGAGATGACAACTTTCTTTGTGGGTGGATTTAACATCATAGTCACCAGCTTAACAATCTTTGTTTCCTATGCCTTCATCCTCTCCAGTATCCTCCACATCAGCACCACAGAGGGAAAGACCAAAGCCTTCAGCACCTGCAGCTCCCACCTTGTAGCTGTGGGATTATTTTATGGATCTGCTTCGTTCATGTACTTAAAACCCTCCACAGCCAGTTCCCTGGCCCAGGAGAATGTGGCCTCCATGTTCTACACCACAGTGATCCCCATGCTGAACCCCCTAATCTACAGCTTGAGGAATAAGGAGGTAAAGGCCATCATGCATAAAACATTGAGGGGAAAACTCTTTGGATGCAAATGTTATTATTCTTTCTCAGGTTGATTATTGGGATAGAAATATAGGGGAGAAGCCCTCTAAAAATTTACACTCACAGAAATGGAGAACAACCACTTTTCAACGTGACTAATTGAGGGCATTAACTCATTTTTCCCTCTTCTGTTTCTCCTTTTCACATGTTTGATGTCTGACTCTGCTTATCTTTGCTGGTTTCAAGCTCATGTTTTTTTCCTTCCAGGATCGGCTGTTTGTTTGTTTTTCCCTGGCCTCTGGTCAACATGTATCTATCTTGATTGTAACATAACATATATTTAGAAATTTCAGCAATGAGTTTAAGAGAGTTGTTCATTGATTTATCATCTTCTGTAGAGAAAATATTATCCAAACTAATTGTAATTTGCGCTTGGGAGTACACAAGACAAATGGAGATGTATTTGAAAGTCACCAAGAAGCATCAAAAGTCTCTTTTTCACCTAGATTTCTCCCTCTATTCTCTCACTATACTGTTACTATCTACTTATCCCTGCCAAGATTATCTAAATGGTCTCTTCATCAATTACTACCATCATCATCATCATCATCATCATCATGATCACATCTAACATTTATGAATGCTAGGCAATCTTCTAAGTGTTTTCCTTAATTATCTCATTTTCTCAGATGAGAGAACTTTGGTTCATAGAGGTTAGGTAACTTCTCCAGGTCACAGAACTGGTAAACAATTAACACAGAGATTCAAACCCACAGCTCATTATCCCCACTCTCTTGGTCAGCAGTCTCACTATGCATCCTATTGAGCTTAGCCTAATTATAACTTTCCAATTTCAAATATTTCCTGAAAATAACTTCCTCTCCTTCCATTATCTTCTCACAGCTCCCAGATAGTCAAGGAATATTAGACATTCCTGTAGTCGTTTCTCCTTCCTAAATAACTGACATTCTGCATCACCTGCCAACCTGACTCAGTAAATCCAATTGGCATGGGACAAAATCCCTTCCACCACTTTTGAAGCAATATCAGGGATTCATGTTAAAGAATTAGTTACCTTGCACTGCAAAAGATTTATAGGCATTCTTCTAATTGTCATTTATAATTATTTTAGGAAGAATACTATATTAGTCTTTGACATTTTAATTACTTTAGGTGCAAAACCTCATCTATCATTCAGCTGTAGGGAAATGAGGAATTCTAGGTCTCTCAAGCAAAAGAGATTTAATACAGGAAACTAAATGCTCACAATATTTTTGTTCTTTTTTTTAAATAGACTTTATATTTTAGAGTATGTTAGGTTCACAGCAAAATTGAGCAGTAGGTACAGAGATTTTCCACATCTCTCTTGCCTTCCCGCAAGTCTAGTCTCCCCTATTATCAACATCCACCATCAAAGGAGTACATTTGGTACAATTGGTGTATCTACACTGACACATCATTATCACCCAGAGTCCATAGTTTACATTAGGGTTCATTCAGTATTGTACATCCTATGGGTTTGGACAAATGTACAATGGCATGTATTCATTATATGCATGACCATTATAGTGTCATACAGAGCAGTTTTTTTACCTTAAAAATACTCTGTGTTCCACTTCTCCATCCATACCTCCCCCAGAACCCCTCGTAACCACTGATCTTTCTACTATTTACATCATTTTGCCTTTTCCAGATTGTCATAGAGTTAGAATCATACAATATGTAGACTTTTCAGATTGGCTTCTTTCACTTAGTAATATGCATTTAAGTTTCCTCCATGTCTTTTTATGGCTTGATAGCTCATTTCGTTTTAGTGCTGAACAACATCCATTGTCTGGATGTAGCACAATTTATTTATCCATTCACCGACTGAAAGACATCTGAGTTGCTTCCAAATTTTGGCAATTATGAATACAGCTGCTATAAACATCTATATGTAGATTTTTGTGTGGACATAGGTTTCAACTCCTTGGGTGAATACCAAGGAGCACAATTGCTGGATTGTATGGTAAGAGTATGATGAGTTTTGTAAGAAACTGCCAAACTGTCTTCCAAAGTGGCTGTACCATTTTCCATTCTAACTAGCAATGAATAAGAGTTCCTGTTTTTCTATATCCTTGCCATCATATGGTTATTATCGTGTTCTCGATTCTGGCCATCTTTTTTCTTTTTCAGGTGTACATCATTTTATTTTGATTTTTGTATAAATTACATCATGTTCACCAACCAAAGACTAATTACAATCCATCACCACACACATATGCCTAATCATCCCTTTCGCCCTCCTCCCTCCCCCTTTCTCCTCTGGTAACCACCAATCCAATCTCTATCTCTATGTGATTGTTTCTTGTTCTTTTTATCTTCTACTTATGAGTGAGATCATATGATATTTGACTTTCCCCCTCTGACTTATTTCACTTAGCATAATACCCTCAAGATTCATCCATGTTCTCACAAATGGCCGGATTTCATCATTCTTGTGGCTGAGTAGTATTCCATTGTTTATATATACCACATATTCTTTATCCATTCATCCTTTGATGGGCACCTAGGTTGCTCCCAAGTCTTGGCTATTGTGAATAATGCTGCAATGAACATAGGGGTGCCTGTATCTTTACACATTCATGTTTTCATGTTCTTTGAATAAATACCCAGCTAGATCATATGGTAGTTCTATTCTTAATTTTTTAAGAATCTCTATACTGTTTTCCATAGTGGCTGCACCAGTTTGTACTCCCACCAGCAGTGTATGAGACTTCTCTTCTCTCCACACCCTCTCCAACACTTCTGGTTCCCTGTCTTGTTAATTAGAGTCATTCTGATGGGAGTGAGGTGATATCTCATTGTAGTTTTGATTTGCAATTCCCTGATAGTTAATGATGTTGAACATCTTTTCATATGCCTGTTGGCCATCTGTATATCTTCTTTGCAGAAATTTCTGTTCAGATCTTTTGTGCATTTTTTAATTGAGTTGTTAGATTTTTTGTTGTTGAGATGTTTGAGTGCTTTATATATTTTGAATATTAACCCTGTATCAGATATATGGTTTGTAAATATCTTCTCCCAATGGATAGGTTGTCTTTTTGTTTTGTTGATGGTTTCCTTTGCTGTGCAGAAGGTTTTTAGTTTGATGGAGTCCCATTTGTTTATTTTTTCTATTGTCTCCCTTGCCTGGTCAGACAAGGTACT